GTGACCGCTGTGAACTATAAATACCGTGCGATCTGTGTATGTATCACCCCTTATCTGCGCATGACTCAGACTTGTTCACGATTACCTATGACTAAGGATTCTCGACGGAATCCGAAACGTTAGGACAGTAAAATTCTTGTTCCGGTGATCGTTTTCAAGCTTCTTCAGCAATGCCGTTCTACAAGTAATATAAATAATTAGATGGTTCTGTCTAAGTACATTGGAAACTAAAAATATATTACGAGGTATATTTACAGGTTCTAACTCCGTCATTGTTTCTTCCCACAGACACCCGAACCCTCTCCTCATGAAATTACCGCCGTGAAAGCTTATAAACAACTTGCCGGAGGTGCCGAAGTTGATACGGATGTGATTGTGGATTTGATTTTGGATAAGATACGGTATAGACGGCATTTTCTAATGTTTTGTATTTATTTAATGTATAGCCGCCAAATTATTTGATTTTCTAAAAGCTGACACGCAGAAAAATCGAGTAAAATGCAGAAAAAAGATCTGATCTGGGACTCTATCAGGCATGACAATATATCCATTCGTTACCTTAACATCTCAGATGTTGCATGACAAGGGAACGGGGAGATAGCTTAAGTTTACTCAGTCAGAAATCCCAGTTGCCACTCCAGGCTTTAGGCAATTTTCACTTGCGCAGTCGACTGACTTTGAAGTTCTCAAATCTAAACGCCAATTATCGGTAAGGATTCCTTGTGGGGACCCTATGTATTACAACCACCTATTTACCCATTTTGAGTAGGTTGGATTACACATAATCTTCCAGTTTTGTGAACGCCGACCTTCAACCCAGTAGGGATTGGATGATGGCATTGAACTACAGAGGGGTTCTCCGAAGGCCACCGAATACAATAACCCCTTACATCAGTATATTAAGCAAAACGGCTTTGAAAATTAACTACGGGAATAATCGCTTGCATATAAATTTTAAGTAGAGTTAATTTTCCAATCTTCAAACCTTCTTCAGTCTTTCACCTTTATTCTAGTTAGGGTTAGTGGTACTACTAGAAAATGTACCCCAATGACCCCACCCGAGGCTAGGGCACACTCCCCTCGACATACACGCGCTCGCCGTTGGCCCAGCGGGGGGTTGGCGATTGTATTAAAGCCTATTTCAGTGTCCTCGCCCGAGGTTTGATTACGCGCCCCAAATTACCCGCGTAACTTTTTTAATTTTACGGAATTCTTGCGGTCTAATTTGTTCCCTGACATGCCCCGCCCGCCCTCTCCCCTAAAATCAGGTGTCCGTGAGTCTGAGGGGCGCGCTTCGCACGCTCCCCAGGCGGCCCCACGAGGTATTCCTGCCCAATTATCCTTCTCAGCAAAGCCATTTTACAAATTACTGTAACGGCAGTATACGTGACCCCGCTTCTACCAATTTCCTACGCATGTCACTTGGCAAGTTTTAAGTAAATTCCCCCCTCCCTTTTCGCTGATTCTCCGACAGGCTTTAGGCAGCTTCCATGCTGTGCAGGCCCCGATTTGTTCGCGCCCGAACAAGTATTCGGAAAGCTTTTTTGAGGTCAGTAGATTGCAGACTGTCTAGAAGATGTTTGATAATTTAGGACCGTGTTACTCTATTTCCTTGCCTGAAAAGCCAATTGGACAAGGGCTCAGCGGCCTTGGCTGTCAGTTGCCTTTGCATCGTCAAGTGCAAGTTAATGCATACACAAAATTTGGGGCGGCGTGCAAAGGCAAGGAACCTTTTCTCCGGCTTATTGGAAGGCTTTTACTAGGGCTGAGGAAGACGCAACCGTTGCTTTTTTTTCTTTGAGGTATCATCATCTTTCAAGGATAAGGCGACACTAGCAGCTGTTAATTTATTTTTGACTGTCTGCTCTAGTCAACTCCTTCCTAACAGAAGTAGGAATATGCTAATTACAAGTGTGTTAAACCGCATCGTGTATTATTACCTAGAATCTTGGCTTTTATAAAAAGTCAATTACTTCTATCTTTTAGTGAAATTCCCAGTGGAGTCGGTTGGTTTCTTGATGGCTTCCCTTCCACCGTGGAGCATGCCCGAGTTTTGGAACAGAAGCTGAACGCACTCTTGCACAAACCAGGCGAGGTTTCCTTCCCGACCAGTCCTCGCATCTCGGGTTCTCTGCCCTTGCCTGAGCAGATACCCAAGTTCCAGGGGCTTGACTTCATAATTGTCCTACAGGAAAACGATTCAGACCTGATTGAGCGCTTCCTAGATATCATCAAGGGCAGCAATTTAAGCTCGAAATCAGAATCCCTGGGAAAAGACCACGAAGAAGGAGGAGAGACTAGCAAAGTAACCAGTGATGTGCCGCACATGGATCTGAACTTGAGTAGTCTTCACGCGAAGATAGTAAACTTTGAAGAACAACTGCCACGCATCGAGTCATTCTATCGAAAGCATTCAGAATGTTGCGCATTCCACCATCTCTCCACTCCAGAGGGTCAGCTTCAACCAGAACTCTCGAAAAGAGAACAAGAGCTCTGCTTGACTCTTTCCAATGGAAAAGACCTACCGGCCGGCTGTGCGGCCGCGTACGTTGCAGTGTATCACTTGCTTGAAGATCATCTTAAGAATAATATGGAAGCTTCGGTCATAGAGGAGGTCTCAGAAGATGCAGCAAAGAGTGATTTATCTGTACAAGACCAGCCCGTAAGTGATGCGGATCTGCCAGGCTTTAGGCAGGTGTAATCAATTGCTACCACACGAATTTGAAGTCAATATTCTGGAACGCATTTTCGAATTGAACAAGTTATCTCAGCAGGCTTGTAGTATTGATTATCATGCACATTTATCTTAAGACATTTCAGTCACATCAATATGATGGCTTTTGAACGAACTTCTTTCAAATTGCATGCATAAAACATACCCTGCAAAGAAATATGAACTTTAGTAGAATGCATGTTTCCCGTTGATTTTTGATGACCGTGTACATGCAAATATATATATATATAGATTATAGAAAGCACGAACAAAATATTATTTCAAAACATAACTTAGCGAGCATACGTTTGTTTTCGATAAATTATCTTGAGGCCTGTACATTTATGTCTTAACGAAATAAACAAATCATGCTGTTTGATGGCTGTGCGCTTCAAATGACTTTGTAACAGTGCCGCAGTTACTATAGGCAAAAGTCGCTAACACATCCGCACATGGCTTTTCACCGGCCTCAGAAACGGGTCCCCCAGAGACGTACAAGTCGCCAATTCAAGCGCACGCAACTTATCATCTGTCTTGACCGCCGGTCCGGCTAGATACTGACATTTTGACCTCAACTGGTCCCACCCCCCCC